TGTCGAGGCTGCAGTGGCCAGGAGCGGCCACTGCACTCCAGTCTGGGCGACAGAGTGAGACTCCAACTTGAAAAAAAAAAATTAATGTATTAGGGCCTGTTTTATGGCCCAATATATAATCCATTTTGATAAACATTCAGTGTACACTTGAAATTCTGCTATTGTTAGCTGGAATATTTTATAGATGTCAATCAGGTCTAGTTAGTTGATTGTGTTGTTCGATTCTCCTATGTCCTTTGTGGTTTTATACCTTTGAAGTTTGTTTTGGCAGCTTTTTCCACCTCCAGGCACATTTTCTTCAATTAACTTTATAATAATTTCATATTCAGATCTTCTTTTTTTTTTTTTTTTTGTTGGAGTCTCATTCTGTTGCCCTGGCTGCAGGGCAGTGCACCCTCATGGCCACCACAGCCTCGACCTGCTGGACTCAGGCAATCCTTCCACCTCAGCCTTCCAAGTAGCTGGAACTACAGGCATGTGCCACAACACCAGCTATTTTTTATTTATTATGGAGAAAAGGTCTCACCAAATTGCCCAGGCTGGTCTTGGCAATCTTGGGCTCAGGCAATCTTCTCACCTCGGCCTCCCAAAGTGCTGGGATTATAGGCATAAGCTACCACACCTGACTCCAGATCTTTAATGTATAAGTATTTTATCTTTGAATGTGCTGCTACATAAGCTTCCAGTTTTATTTTTCTCCATATAGGGATCTAGTTTTCTCAACATCTTCTATTAAACAATCACTTCCACCTTTGACTTAAGGAATATAAATGTATATATATGAGTTTGAAAAGAGTGTTATATATATCCTTTTATTGCTATAGTTTTATAGTGTATACATATCACACTTCTTTCATTGCTGTGGTTTTTGTGTGCCTTAATATTGGTATAGTAGGTTATTTCATCTACTTGCCTTTTTAAATATTTGCTTAGCTATTCATGGACCTTTATTTGTTTATACGGTTTATCAGGTATATTTTTAAAAATTCAGCTGAGCCGGGCTCGGTGGCTCAGCCTGTAATCCCGCGCCTTTGGGAGGCTGAGGTGAGTGTATTGCCTGAGCCCGCGGGTTTGAGACCCGCCTGGGCAACTTGGTGAGACCTCATCTCTACAATAAATCAAAAAAATTAGCCGGGCGTGGTAGCGCGTGCCTGTAGTTCCAGCTACCCGGAAGGCTGAGGTGGAAGGATTGCCGGAGCCCAGCAGGTTGAGGCTGCGGTGGCCAGGAGTGGCCACTGCACTCCAGTCTGGGCGACAGAGTGAGACTCCAACTCAAAAAAAAAAAATTCAGCTGAAATTTTTATTTGTACTGTGTTGAATTTATAGATTCATTTAGTAATAATTAACATTTGAATATTATTAACCATTCTATCCAAGTATGAGGAAGAGCTCTCTGTGTACTCAGATTGTCTTTTATGTATTTTATCAAAATTTAAACATTTCTCCAATGAGGCCTTGTTTAGTTGAAGTAATTTATAGCTATTTTTACAGATTTAATTGCTATTACAATAGAATCTTATTTTAAGTTTATTTTTAGTTGGTCATTGCAGGTGTTTTTTAGTGTGTACTATTGTTTTTTAGATTTTAGTTTATGTTATGTTTTTCAGATTGAATTTATCTGTGACAACCTTGTTTAACTCTTATTGATTCTAACAGATTATTGATGCTCTTTTTTCTAGAATATTATTTGAATATCATCTTCCAATAAAGATAGTTTTATTTATTCTGCCTTCTTTGGGTATTAAAAAAAAGAGTATAGCTGGGTGCAGTGGCTCAAGCCTATAATAATCCCAGCACTTTGGGAAGTGGAGACGAGAGGATTGTCTGAGCTCAGGGGTTTGAGACCAGCCTGAGCAACATGGTGAGACCTCATCTCTACAATAAATCAAAAAATTAGCCAGGCATGGTGGCACATGCCTGTGGTTCCAGCTACTTGGAAGGTTGAGGCAGAAGGATGACCTGAGCCCAGTAGGTCAAGGCTGCCGTGGCCGTGAGCATGGGAAACAAATTTAATGGTTCTTCAATAAGCATAAAATATGCTGTAAGCTTTTACTAAAAAAAATTTACAGAATTAGGGGAGATTCCTTATATTTTTAGTTTCCAAAGAATTTTTACATGAAAAAGGTATTAGACTTTATCAAATTCTTTTTCTGCATCAGTTGAAAAAAATAATTTTCTTCTTTCATCTATAGTATGGTGAACTACACTGATAGATTTCCTTTATATTGAACATTCTTTGCATTTATGGGATAGGCTATTTGATCATAATGCATTAATTTTTTATATAACCTTTGGATTTTGATAGCTAATACTTAATTTTTTTATTTTTATTTTATTTTATTTTTTTTGAGTTGGAGTCTCATTCTGTTGCCCAGACTGGAGTGCAGTGGCCACTACCGGCCACCGCAGCCTCGACCTGCTGGGCTCCAGCGATCCTTCAAGTAGCTGGAACTACAGGCATGCGCTACCACGCCTGGCTAATTTTTGATTTGTTGTGGAGATGGGGGTCTCACCAAGTTGCCCAGGTGGGTCTTGGACCCGCGGGCTCAGGCAATCCACTCACCTCAGCCTCCCAAAGCACGGATTACAGGCTGAGCCACTGAGCCCGACTGATTCCCATCCTTTATGTCTGATCTGCTTTTTTCATTTTGGAAATATTCTATTACTCTGAAATTTCACTGTGATGAGACTTGGTGTGCTCATTCCTTTTCATTCATTCATTGGGACACTACACTTACTGGATTCTATCAGTACGGAGATTTGTGCCCTTCATGCCTGGAAGATTTTCTTGTTTTGTTTCTTTGATAGTTTTTCCTCACTGCTATTCTCTCAGTGCTTTCTTTCTGGAAACTGTATTAATAAAATGTTGGTGTTCCTGGATTAATCTAACAATTTTCCATTTTTTCCTCCTGGTACTTTCTGTTTTATTTTCTCAACTTTCATCCTTTATATTAAAATTTTTGTTTCTTTTATTCTTTTTTAAAAAATGTACTGAATTCTTTTTTATTGTCTGACTTTTTCATTATTTATACCATCACATATTTTTCCTGGCCTTAGTATTATTTTCCTCTCTCCAAGGATTATAAGTATACTATTGAGAGGACATTTTCTTCTCTTGCCTTTGCTCCCTGTGTTCTTTTTTCAAATCTTCTATGTACTATTTATTTTGCTTGTCTTATCTGCTGCCAAAAATAGTGTTTTAAAATTTCTTACTCTGATTGTGAATTTGTCTGTTTCTCCTTGTAGTTCTGCTAAGTTTTTGTTTTATATATCTTGAAAGCCTGTTAATAGATGCACACACATTTAGAATTATTTTTGTCTTCCTGGATAATCAAGTCTTTTTTTTCTTATGAATTATCGCCTGTTATACCTAGTAATAGTTTTCACTTTAATGTCATTTTTGTCTTATGATAATATGGTTATACTAGTTTTTTTGGTTGTTGTTAGTGTTTGTATGGCGTATCTTTTCTATCCTTTTACTCTCAACTTTTCTTATGATTGTATTTTAGCTATATCTCTTATAAATATCATGTACTTAGGTTTTGTTTTTGTTTATCCAATCAACTGTATTTGTCAGGAGCTCAGGATATAAAGTTTATATTCTCTGTGTTCAAGAAGATAAGGGTCAAGTTGAGAATTTAATCAGAGAATAGTAAACTATAATAAAAGCGATGAAATGAGAATTCCAGAGCTGAAAAAGTCGCTAAAATTAAAT